TGTGTGTGTGTGTGTGTGTGTGTGTGTGTGTGTGTGTGTGTGTGTGTAATATGATGATATGCCACATGCATGGAGGGGAGCGGGGGAGAGAAAAGGTTTCCAGAATTGATTTTAGTGGGACTTTAAATGTCCCATTGTCAAGGTAAGGAAGCTGGGCAATACACTGATTTTTTTTTTTTGTTTCAGTTTATTATAATTCAATTTAATGTTTCTTTGGATAGATCATCTTAGATCCAGGGTTGTCTTCCTTCTGGGAAATGCATCATTCAGAAAATCACACAAATACTTCATCTACTATTTACTGTTTTCTTAAGCAAATTAAGAAGTAGAAGAAAGTAGATGTGTTTGTAAATCCAAGTGTCAAAACACATCTGTGTTAGGAGTTTAACATGCAACTGACATGTACATATACATTGAAACTATTTGCTCAAAATAATTTCATATAAAATAAACATACAAAGTTCTAATCTGTTGCCCATCTTTTCCATTCTCCTGGTGAATTTTTAAAAGATCACACATTCCATGGCAGCATACTGAGGTTTAGGATAGTTATTTTTTCAGATCAAATAAATTGATAGGACCTATAACATATTCTGTTCTGATTTATTAAACCTTATCAAATATACAGTATATTTGTGCCCATTTAATCTATTACCTAAATGATACTGTAACACTGGGAAATTACGGGTGCAATTTTCCTCCTCTAATTTAATAGATTAAATATTCTGGATTTTGGTGTCAATTAGATGTTTTTCAAACATTGCCATGATGAGATCAATAATTGCAATTGTATTAGTTTATCACAAACTTTATATACTATATTTCCATTCAAATGTGTTGAAATTTATTTATGGGATACCATACATTCTAATCCAGTTTTAAGCATGAGATCAATTGGGTAACTCTGAGTTAGCTTCTTTATTTAAATCATAGAAAGAGACAGTGACTAATTTACTTCAAAAACATTGCCAAAAATCAGCGTAAACATCTCCAGGCAATCACTAGGAATCAAGACTGACACCAAAGTGGAGAGAGGGAAAGAGAGCGGGAAGGAGGGAGGAGGGCAGGAGGGAGGGAGGGAGAGAGAGAGAGAAAAAAAATCATAGTTAATGATGGTTAGTAAAATCATAGCTTAGAGTGAGATGTGAATATAAACATTAGTTTTAGAGATACATATTGCTGAACAGCATGACTAAGTTCAAATATGACTGTTTTAGAGGAGAGTTTGATTTCATCTTAATTCCATCTTGCGCAAAAACATTTTAACAAAATCAGTACTCTGTGCAAATGTGAACATGATACAAAATACTTGTCATTTACCACTGACTTATTTAGTTGCAAAATAATACACATTAAGGTGTTATTTCAAATTGTAGGTTCATTTTTAAGGTCTAGTATCCCCTTCTTTGTTCTTTTCTGTCTTCTCTTTCACCCTTTTGTTCTTTCTTTTTATATGTTTGTCAGTAAATCATTGATATGTAAGGGGTACTTTTTCCTTTGAGTTGAATATGCAGTGAATATAAAATAGACTTCTACAGATTGTGGCATTAATTCAGAAAGTCAGATAAAGACTTCAGAATAATAATAGTGACTCTACAAGTAACCTGTGAAGTTATCCCTTCACAGTTGACATCAATTCTTTCACTACAGATTGTTATTGCTAGGTGTTCCTCTGTTTATACCTCAGGGTAATGAAAACAATAGTTCACTGAGTTATTTTTATTCTGTAAGATGTGATTTTTATTATCTCAGCTGCTGTTTCTGAACATAAGTCTCTAACTTTAAATGAATGCTAATTTACACTGTCACAAAGAATTCTGACAGGTACTCTGTACTTAAATTATATTACTTTCTAAAATGATCCATCCAAAGTTAGGGGATGATAAGTTTCCCTTACAGCAGAAAAGATATATAGATTTACTTAAATCTTAAATGGGCAAGTGGGACTTTAAAAAAGTCATCTTTAGCTCATGAACATCCACATTGTAATGTTGAAATCTGCCTTTAATGAACTTATTGTGGACAGATTGTAGTTCCATTTATTAATCTTCTAGCCACAAGGTTGTAGGATTCTCTTGTTTATCCTAAAGCTCCATTCCTATTCTGGATGGGAATTCTGCCAGTTGTAGTGCCAAACATCTGAAGCAAATTAGGTACAAGTCTGACCTTGAGTAATTGCATGAGATCCTATTATTGTTGTTCTTGTTTCCATTTCCATTCAATATTATTATCCAGAGGGCATTGAAGGTATGTACAAGGGGAAGGAATTTTAACCTTTTCTACTTCAGCTTCTTCACTTCTAAAATCATCTTTTTTCTTCAGTTGGCAACAAAAAGGATTTAAGAAAATTAAGAAGAGTGAAGAAGAGTTTTCTTGAACAAAGCATCTGCATATAAAAAGATTTAAGCCTCCTCTCCCTTGTATAGTGGTTCAATTCAATTCATGGCTTTACTGGCATTTAGAGTAAATTCAGAGGTTAACTGCATTCTGTATCATTAACATTATATGCAGTTCTCTCATGAAATATCTGCAGTATGATATTATAAGGAAGGAACTATTTAATTATTTACATTTCTACTCAGGCATCTTTTGAGGAATATATTTAATGCATGTTTTGAAGACATAGAACTGAATGAATATTCAGAACTTTACAATGAATCTTGAAATTCAGCACTTATTTTTCAGAACATTTAAATTACACTGATAACCAATCAGAGTCGATGTCTCCCATAAATCTGTGTTGTGAACAGCTCCTTTTGTGGCCTTTCCCCAATTTAGTTATCTCCCAAGCTGAGAGAAATTCTGTAAAGAAAATGGAGGAAATGCAAATAGGAGAAAGAAAGTATTGGCTGAGGAATTACAAATAGTATGTGTTGATTTTTTTAAGAAAAAAATACATAAGTATATCAATAATATATAAAATAATTTCCAATCTGCTGGAGTTTGTGCTACTTATTTTAAATTCCTGGGCCTTTCCAAACTAATTCCAAGTCCTAGAATTTTGGTCCAACTTTCACTTTTTAAATTCCATGATAAATTTCTTTGACAATAAAAAATACTGACAAGATAAACAGACTGTGCTGAATATTTAAATTATTGCTAAACCTCAAGGCAAGGTAGCCCACAGCTGTTTTGCATCTTTAGAAAGATTTTGGCTATTATCTATTAATTCTTAAATAAACCTAAATTTAATTGGGTTGAATGTGGCTACAAGCCTGTTCATCACCTACAATTTCTCATGATTTTTCCCTGGTCTAGATTTACAATCTTTATTGTTGATACCTTACAAATTTCTGCTACTATAGTTCTGACTTGGTTACCCAGCAGATGGACTATGTAGGAGGGCCAGGTAGTTCATCAAGGATAGTACTTTTATGTACCCCAAACCCCAGCACTATGACTAGTGTTTCCTGAAGTGGGACTAGTGCCTTTCCTGAAGTGGGAAAATGTGAGATGGCTGAAACCTTTGAGATCTTACCTGCAGATGATCAGCTTGTGCAGTTGAAAGTTTTTCCAATGCTTTCTCTAAAGAAGCTGAAATCACAAGACAATTGAAATATAGCTCCTGCAAGCATGGTCTTCAGTCATCAGGGCCTTCACTGAACGAAAAAGACATGAAAGGACAAGATTGCTACAAGCCGCTTTTTTACAAAAAAGTGAACAGCAAATCTATCAGTGCAGCTATGTCTTGCACAGCCAACAAGATTTTTTTAGGGGATCCAATGTTTTGTTTCTGTCAAGTATATGTATAATGTGTTACATTATGCTGAATTTATTAATGTAAAAATACTTGTTTGTAGAAGCTGAAAGCAATTGAGAAGACGCATTAAAGTGAGGCTGTGTTTCTATTTTAAACTAGAATTTAGCACTTGTTTTCTATTAAATGTCAGGGTCAATTATATATCAGAGTCTTCAACTCTACCTTTCTGCCAAAGAATGAATCATAATTTAAGTGTTCTATAATGATCCTTCAGCAGAAGAGCCCCTTTAAAAAAAATCAGACCCAGTAAAGCTCCTTCCCATTACAGCAAAGTTAAAAAGGACACCTGTAAGGATTTGAATGTTAGCAGGAGCTGAAGTAAATTACAGTTGGTATTAATTGAATTATGTGTTAATTGTTTTGCTGCTTCAGATCACTTCAGATTAACTGGACATCACCAGGACAACCAAATGGCATTATTTTAGGATATGAACTATTGCGGAAAGCTCAACATCCCTGCACTGAGGAAAAGCAACTGTCAAAATATCAAAGTGAAGGAACTTGCCTGCTCTTGGAATGCAACATTCATGAAAACATGCATGGAAGACGATGCTGTAATCCCCATTTTAAGGTAACACCATGAAATACGCTGGCTTTGTCTTTTAACCCATACCCCAATCAAACTACAACTAGCCCTTGGCTTACAACCAGAGGTGGTATTCAGCAGGTTCTGATCAGTTCTGGAGAACCAGTAGCAGAAATTTTGAGTAGTTCGGAGAACTGGCAAATACCACCTCTGACTGGAGATTTTACAGTATCCTTCCCCTGCCACGCCCACCAAGCCACGCCCACAGAACCTGTAGTAAAAAAAATTGAATCCCACCACTGCTTACAACAGTTCATTTAGTGACCATTCAAAGTTACAATGTCACTGAAAAAAGTGCCTTATGACCATTTTTCACATGACCATTGCAGCATCCCTATTGTCACGTGATCAAAATTAAAATGATTGGCAACTGGGTCATATTCATGACAGTTGCAGTGTCTCCAGGATCCCATAGGATCACCTTTTGTGACCTTCTGACAAACAAAGTCAAGCAGAAAGCCAGATTCGCTTAATTACTACTTAATTTAGTAACTGCAGTGATTCATTTAACAACAATGCATGAAAAATTATAAAATGGGGCAAAACTCCCTTAGCAACTGTTTCAGTAGCAACAGAATTTTTGGGCTCAATTGTGATCATGAGTTGAGGACTATCTGTATAAAAAGGATATCTAAAGGATCATTCACTGGTATATGACCTGCCTACACATTTCCTAAAGCTGAACTAAAAATGCCTCCACAGTCAAAAAGTGAGTAGCATACTGATTCAAACCAATATTTTCTAGCTACCTATAATACCCAGAGTTTGAAATATTTGTTCAGGTAGAGGGTCTGCAGACAGTTAAAACCACTACTGGAGCTGCCATGTATAACCACAGCATGTGATGCAGGTTACTTGATTTCCTTCACCAAATGTTCAATCCATTTATGTCTGATTTTGCATTATTAATTCATGCAGGATTATGCTTACAAATCAGAACCATTTTATAAAATTATTTTACATTTATACCTTTGGATAGTTAGTAATCTTCCAGCCTTGTTTGTAGTAACGGGAAACATACTGATCGGTCCTAGACAACTGTTGGAAATATATTTAGTGATATGTTTTGCATTCTTAGAAATTACTATTTGCTTATTATTTAATACTGCTTTAATAGAGGCCTAAGGTTGGTTTATTTTATTTAAAATAATGATAGCTTTGGAGGATCTCATGAAACGAAGTAAAACAATTATTTCAAGTTAAATAAGTTTATTTTTAAATTAACTTGAAATGCACATTAATCAACAGTTTCATTGAAAAAGAAGAACATAAGGGACAGAAAGCATAGTAACATTGCAGTTTCTAAGACATGAAGACAATAGTAAAATTCCATGTCTTACTATGATACCCAAATCACTCAGGATATAAGCCAGGGATAGCTATAAATTTCTATTTTCCAGAAACCGAATCCCATGCTCAGAGGTGAATAACAGTAGAAGCTTCACAGTCTTAGCACTTTGTTGCTTTATTGGAGACAAGAAAAGTATCATATAATATGAATGAATTGCCCATTACAGAACACACAAGTGAAGCACTACATGTATGTCAATTCTGGGATTTAAATTGTAAGCTTTTTTGGAACTTCCGATTTGCAGGGCTTCAGCGGCAGGCAGGAATCTGCGATCATGCGCAGTTTCTGCCTGGGCTCGCCGCTGGAGCTCCCCAAGCCAGCTGGTTTCGGGGCTAAAGCACCCCATAGAGGTGGTGAAGAGTGGGGAGATTGCCAGCAGGGTCGAGGAGAGCTGCATCTCTCCTCCTGAAGGCGGTAGGAGTGGTGGTCAGAAATGGCCACCTCAAAGAAGCACTCAACCGGAAAAGAAAGTGCAGGAGGAAGATAAGAAGTGAAAGTTTTGGCTGTCCGGGATAAAAAGCAACAACTAAGGTAACCTGGAATTTAAATTTTATAAAAGATAACATTGCTCCCAAAGAAGAGTCGGAAGCAGCGGAAGAAAGAGAAAAGGGAAAGTTTTTTTTAATCTCCTCTCTCCTTCCTCACATTGACAACGAAGAGAGCTGAATAAGAAATTGGAAAAATCCGCTTTGGCACCAATAATCAAGCTGAAAATATAATTAAATGCCAAAGGGACAATAAAGATTTCTGGACATTAAAAAATCCTTTTTGTCTATAAGTAGGAAGGGAGAGGAAAAGAATAAGGGCAGGATCTGGAAGGAGGAGACTGCCTGAACTTCAAAATAATTTAATCTAAAATCTCAATAAGACTTCTAAAAGATACATTTTAACTGGAACTTTGTACCTAAATAGTAACCCCAGGAAGAGAAAGTGAAAAAAGAAGGAAGTATAAAAAGAAACAGCTTGTGTGTATTTGGATTGCTTGGTGACTTTGGGATTTTGGGATATTATATTTGAATGTCTAAAAACAATTGGGTGGTTGTTTAAAATTTTTTACAATCTTTGGATGAACTGAAAATGGAATTTAAAAAATATAAAGAAGAGACACAAGAAGGGAAGGGCTCCTTTGGCTCCATTTTTCAATTCTTAGAAATGGCCATTCGTAACTACGAGAAACAACAAGAAAAGACTGTGCAACAAGAAGATTGGGACAAAGAAGAAGCCATCTTTAATGAACAAGTAACTCCATCTGGGGAAGAAAGGGAAAGGGGGGAAGGAGAATGGAGAATTTAAGACTTAAAAAAACAACCAAAAAAGGGAAAAATAATTTGAAAAGTGGATATAATGTGGGAAAGCAACAGAAAAGGGAAATACAGAAGAGGGAAATGGAGGTGGAGAGACAGTGGGGTAAAAGGGGGAGAGAGAAGAAAAAAGGGAAGAAGGAAAGGAAGAGAAGTTACAAAGGTTTGGAGCAAGATGTAAAGAAACAGGATTTATTCAGAGATAATGGGTGAAAATTTAATTGAAAAAGGGATTCTGTGAAGGCACATAAGATGGTATTGCTATATTTGTAATAGAAATAATGTTAGAAAATTGGAAACAACATATGATTAAAAAGAGGTATAAAATAGTCAGTGTAATTTAGTGAAACTTTTGTGAACAAAATAAATGAAATAAAATAAATGAGAGAATTGAATTAGGAAGGAACGGGAACATTTTAATTATTCAATTTTTTATAAAATATAAGTGAAGTGGGGGGGAATTAACTATGGAAAGTTTATAAGTGTTCCCATAGAAGTATGATATTTATCTGAAAAGTAATGTGTAAAATGTTAAGATTTAAATGAATATTTATATTAATGATAGAATTGAATTGGTATGGATTGTTGTTCTAATTATATTATACATTTATAATTTTTCCTCTTTTTAAAATACAGTATGTAATTTTAGAAAGTGCCAAGCAAAATCCAAATGGAAGTTATGTATTACATTAAGTGTTATAATTTTAGGGGAAAGATATAAAGGCGTCATACTCCAATCAGTGATTACAGGAGAAATTTTGTTTAATGAGAAAAGATAGTAGACAATTGAAACAGGACAGACAAAGAATATAAGTACAATGATTTGAATTGAGATGAAATAAATTAAATAAAATTAAGAAAGTTAAAAGAGGGGAGAAGCTATATTGAAAACGTAGAATAGTAATAAGATATGGAATGGAATATAAAAATGAGCATGAACTGGAATTTGTGTCTGTACGAAGAGATTGCTGCTTTCAAAAAAGATGTTTTATGTCTTTATGTTTTATGTTTTGTTTGTTTATGTTTGTTTTCAAAAATCAATAAAATTTTCAAAAAATAATAATATATAAGCTTTTTTTTCCTCCATCCCTTCACATCGACAAGATTTTAGCCAGTATTTTCCCTCCAGCTTTTCCTTACAATACTTCTATCTGACCTGTTGGAGTGCTGGTTTCCATCTCCCCAGCTTCAAACTTTTTCCCTTTCTCGTTTATCTATTTCCATCCTTACTATCTGCTCCTCCTGTTGTGCGACAGTGGAGAACAATGTAGATTTCTGTCAGTTTCTACTTCTGCATTGGCTGGAGTTTGAAGGGAGATCTCCCTCTCTTCAAACTTTTTTTAAATCATCTCCTCCTTGTATCTGGAACAGGGAGTGAATTTTCATTTCCTGCTTGGGCTGAAATCATAAGGGTTTTTCCTCTTTTAGGTGTTCTGCCTCCTCATCCTTGCACTAGACAGCAAGATGAGATAGTTTGTATCTCTTCTATATATATAAGGAGTGCCCCCCATTCAAGAATCCTCCCTCTCAGATTCAGCCAGGATAGTATCTGTGTCTTTCTCATTCATATATCAATAACTCTTTCTTCTTCACCAGCTAGTAAAGTGACAGAATTCCTGGCAAACACTGAATCCAGACTGTGTAATTAGTCAGGTGCCTTGGGCTTGTGAGGATACTATATACAGAACTGTTGAAGAAATTCAAGAATCTATACTTTACTTGTTGCTTCCCCTGATTTTTCCATGTTTGGTTAATCTTTCCAAAAAATTAATTATTCCAATCTATCCCTCCTTCTCTAGCATTCCAATTTATCTAAAATTCTTCCTTCCCTCTCAAAAAATGGGGGGGGGGGCCTTACGGGGTATAAAGGTATAAAAAGGGGTCATCCAGAACCAGGACGTACAATAAAAATTGTGAGGTATTTTGAACATTGCTTGATGCTGCAAACAAGGGGGGACAGGATTGACCTGTCAAGTATAGGGGATGGTTATATAACCTTGTCATGTAATATTTTTTATCATTTGTACAAAGGAGAAATATCTAGTGATATTTCAATGTAGTCTTTAGGGATTGTGTGATGAGCTTCCTGACAATGATGGTCAGCAAAGCAGTCGTAAGATGTCTTGATTGATTCAGATGACCTGGGAGGGCCTTCTCAATAGCTTGTAATTCATGGAACAAACCAAAAGCCTCTGAAATATGAAAAGTGCTTGGCAACAGGGTTCAAGGGTAACTACAGGTGGTCTGAGTAGAGTCATCAACCAAAGGTAACAAAAAATTGGGCTAATTATCTTGCTGATAGTCCACATAGTAATGAATGCATTGCTGTAAGG